AATCTGGACAGGAGCAGCCCAAGATCCTGCAAATGCATGCTCAGGGCCAGCCCTAGATAATTTTCAAGTGTAAGCAAACAGTATTTTGGTGTCCTCCCCCCCCCCAACCAATCTCTTCTAACTCTAGGATCTGGTTGATTTGGACTGATTGGATTTAAAAATTGATAGAGACCCCAGGAAGATAGAACAAGATGTTAAAAAGGAAAGCTTTACAGTGTGACGTGGGGAAAGTCCAGTTGTGGTCCCAACTTTTATGAGGGTTAAGTGGTGTATTTCTTCAATTTTTTAAATTTTGAAAGAAGGGCCACCCCCCCGGCGTTTGTCCATAGGACTAAACCTCCAAAGGTCCCAATGGGGCAACTAGCATGGACTTGCATGGGAGCGTGTTTACCTCCACGGTCGGGGGTGGAGGTGTGGAAGTGGTTACCCTAGTGGAAATTATAACCCCACACATTTGCATGTGTTTTTTGAAACTGCTAGGGTTGGGAGCAGGAAACAGAAAGCTGGGGGGCTAAAACAGGTGGGAAGCCTCACCCCAACTTTACCCCAGATTTTGAAACAAACTGTAGGCTTTTTCAGTCAAAGGGCAAGTTTTCCAGGGCCAAGCTCAAGGTTGGTTAAAACCCACTGTTGGGCCCCATCAGGGAAAATAAAGATATTAGATGGGGCTGGGTAGATTAGATAAGGATAAGGATAGATAGGGATGGGCCGGAAGCTAGGGGGTATAGGATAGGGATTAAGGATAGGTATAGGGGAAGTAGGAATAGATAAGGGATAGGATATTAGAGTTAGGATGTAACATATAGGGATGGGGCTGGATTCAAGGATAAGGATAAGATAGGATAGAAATTTAGATGGGATAGATTAGGTTAGATAGATAGGATAGATAGATAAGGCATAGGGATAGGGATTTGACATGGAGAGAGATTAGGAACAAAAAAACCAAAAGGGGGGGTTGGGGGCTGGGGATTGGCCTTTGGAGGTACTCTTTTATGATTAAGCTTTTTATGTTGTGTTTTGGGGGTGTGTGTTGTTGTATTAGGGGATGCCCCAGGGGATCAATACGATAAAATAAGGGGGAGGATTTTATTACATTTATATGGCATATAGATTTGGGCTGGAGGATATAAATATATATATTATATACACACACAACAAGATTAGTACTCTATGGGGCTTTGAGAGGGGAGGAGAAACCAAAGAACCTCTGCAGGCTGAGAGTTTTCTTACTCCACGCACATTAGGGATAGGATTTAGGGGGGGAATGATTTTAAGATAAGAATTAGAAATAGATAGATGAGGATAGGATAAGATAGATAGATTAGGGTAAAGGTTTGTATACCAGAGACGGGTGAACGGGGATAATAGATTAGGTAACCACAACAGGAAGACCCAAGGAGAGGGGGGGGGGGAGAACACAACAGGAAATGGGGGGCTGGGGGGGAGGGGTGGGAAAGGGGGGGGGGGACCTTTGGGGTTTGCTTCCCAAAAGGCAAAAAAAGGGTTTTTGTGTGCAGGGGGGAAAACAGGTCTGAGGGGGGAAGGGGCCCCCAAAGGGGCGGCCTTTGGCAACATGCGGGAAGGGGTGGGGAACTTCAACATGTAGTGTTAAGGGGCCAGGGAGGGGGCCTGAAAGCACTGTGGAGGGAAGCACAGTGCATGGGAAGGGAGGGGAAGGGGAAGGGGGGAAAGGGAAAGGGGGACAAGGACAAGGAGAAGAGGAAAGGGAAGGGGGGGAGGGGGGGTAAGGGAAGGGAAGAAGGGAAGGAGGAAAGAAAAGCAAGCCGACTCTATCTACCTGCTCTCGCGCCGGGAGGAAAAAAGGAAGGAAAAAGGAAGAAGGAAGGAAAGAGGGTCTCTTCCTCATAGGCCAAAGAGATGCAGATTTCCCTTGCTTTTCCCCTTGCATAAAAGAAGCCGCTTTGCTTGCTTCCCCTGTGCGTAAAAGACAAGGCTTTGTGTATGTGTTGCTGTGCTTCTCTTTTTTGGAGAGGTCTCTGGGGATTACCTCATTTCTCCCTTCGCCCCTTCAAAACAGATTGGTTCATATCTGGTGCCTCAAGAGCACCCCTCAGAGATTCGCGCTATACGCAAATGCGTATCTTGCCTATTGCTTCAGCCGCCACTGTGCATGCTGAATCTGGAGCCAGGGTCTAGATAGGTTTGAACCACATTGGTATCTTTTTCTCTGTATCATCGTTACTGTTCTCTACCAGTCATAGAGCTCCATCTAAATGCTTGGATGTTGTGGTCATGTCTGCCGATGTGCCTTTAAAGCCCTAAACGGTTCTGGCCCGACTTAGCTGTCCAAACGCGTCTCCTCCTATGAACCAGTTAGGACATTAAGATCGTCTGGAGAGGTCCTGCTCTTGATCCCGCCGGCTTCACAAGCACGCCTGGCGGGGACGAGAGACAGGGCCTTCTCAGTGGTGGCCCCCTGGCTGTGGAACGCCCTTCCTGCAGATATTAGATCGACCCCCTCCTTGCTGGCATTCCGGAGGAAAGTAAAGACCTGGCTGTTTGAACAGGCATTCGACTAAGCAGTGTGATTGATTGACTGACTATTGGAACACGGAATAATGGATAACGAGTTTGGATTCTGATTTCATCGATGAGACCTGATGGATTTGTTACATTGATGTAGTGATGTATTGATGCTGATGTTTAATTGATTTGTGATGCTATTGTTTTTAAATGCCTAATGATTTTGTATTGTGTATACCTAAACTGTTGTAAACCGCTCTGAGTCGCCTAAGGGCTGAGAAGAACGGTATACATATACAAATAAAGTAAATAAAATAAATAAATAAATAAACGAGGGCTGACACAGAGGAAGAGCAGTCTCTTTCCACTGTGTTGGTCAGCTCACGGAAAAGGCAATGGCAGCAATATCCATCTTGACAAGATATTGGGGAGGGAAAAATGCAGTATGGCTGTCCAGACTGCCCCAAAGCCCTGGATACTCGGGAGCATCCAACAAACTCTAGACTATTCTCCAACTTTTCATAAAGTGGGGCCAAGTCGAATTAAACCCAGAAAAGTGAGAATCCTCACCACAAGATGACACATTTTGAAGAGTCAAACAGTGGTGGATTTGTGGAAACCTGATTTTTGAGCCAGTGTCAATGGGCCTATAATCATCAATAGCCCTACTCAAATATTATAAATTCAATGCCATGACTTCTTTGGATATATAAATTCAGCTGTTATCTGGTTCTCCTCTTTTCCTATCACCTTATGCTTTTCTACCTTTCCTGTAGGGCTGGGCGGTTTCGTTTCGTTAATTCGTAATTTGTTAAAAATTCGTTATTTTTTTTGTTAACGAAGCGATAACGAACCATTCTGGAGCAACTTAAAAACAAAACGAATTTTTCAATTCGTTTCGTAAATGCTTCGTATTTCGTTATGTATTCGTTTCGTTATTGGTTTGAGGTCGTTTCGTTATTATTTCCGCATGTCTGGGGCAAGTTTTATAGTTGTTTTTTGTTTAATTAGTGAAAAAAAATTATAATATCACACCAACAGTCAACAACAGAGGGAGAGGGAAGCTTCAGAAGTTTTTTAGCGTATTGCGCGATCGCGGCCGCCATTAACGAATCGATTCGTTATTGTTTCGTTATTGTTTTGTAATTTTTTTACCATTTACGAAATTTCGTAAATATCGAACTTTTTTTAAGGAAAATTTCGGAATTCTTTTAAATATCGAAACGCAAAAAACCCCAAAAAACAAATCGATTTTAGAAACAAATTTTTCCGTTGTTACCCAGGCCTACTTTCCTGGTATTTTTGGCAGGATATATATTCGGGCAGAGATTTTGATTTCTGCAGAACACAATGTTTAGTGTGACAAAAAGAACAAAGGGAGATTATCACCACATTTTCATAGCATCATAGAGTTGGAAGAAACCACAAGGTTCATCCTGGTCAACCAAGTGATATTGTAGTACAGGGGTCCTCAAACTAAGGCCCGGGGGCCAGATACGGCCCTCCAAGGTAATTTACCTGGCCCTCACACAGGGTCAACCTAAGTCTGTAATGACTCAAAAGCACACAACAACAACAACAATCCTATCTCATTAGCCAAAAGCAGGCCCACACTTCCCATTGAAATACTAATACATTTATATTTGTTAAAATTGTTCTTCGTTTTAATTATTGTATTGTTTTAAAGTGGTTTTTGCACTACAAATAAGATATGTGCCGTGTGCATAGGAATTCATTCATGTTTTTTTCAAATTATAATCTGGCCCTCCAACAGTTTGAGGGACTGTGACCTGGCCCTCTGTTTAAAAAGTTTGAGGACCCCTGTTGTAGTACATTACATGATAGAATCCCATTCCTCCAAGGCTATTAAGTTCAGAGTCTAAAATCACTAAATGATGCCACTGGGTAAAGATAGGCTTTGCATGGGGCTGTGTACTAGACGGTATTTTTTCAGTCCAGTTATCAGTTAAGAGTTCTATGCCAACCTGGCATTCCCCCATCATTGCTTTTTTCTCTGAATTATTAGAAAAGTGGTCAAGACACATTTTTCACACTTGTCTGATAAACTACTTTTTGAAACTGATTCAGTGTAATCCCACTCACAGAGTTGCTGGACACCTAGTTGTTGGCTTCTACTCCAATTACAGAATATAAGTTGGCTCTTATGCGAGAGATTTTATCTGCAAAATGGTTAAGAGGATCACAGTGAGCTACTTAAAGTTCTCATAATGGATCCAAAGGGGAAGGTACCTCTCACCACTCTGAACAGCTCAGCTTGGCATGAATCTTCAAACGCAATGCAAGCAGAGAAAGCTTTCTTCACTATTGCGACCTTATAGCAGCATGAGTCATATTGTAACCTTTTCAAGATAAGGGAATTTATGTGGCCCAGTATGTCATGCTATTTCCCATTAAAGTCTGCATGTGTTCCTGGATGTATGTGCAATTCTTGTTATTCCACCTCCCACAGATAACCAGGAAAAGACAGTCATCAATCATAAAAATATATCCTTTAATATCACAGTTTGCATAATTTAATATCAAAATTTATATAATAGTTTCTGTGCTGTTATTACAAAATAAATAAATAATCAATAAATATCATAAGAAATATGAGGTAGAAAGAATCATTTTATCCAAGGACACATGTCTCAGAATCCTTAGTAATTATTGCAAAGCCCTAATGGTCCTTTATGAAGTGTTATGGAAACAATCAAGTATAAATAAGAAATGCGTTTTCCAAAATATTCTTTTGTTTTTCAACAATGGATGTGATTGTAAGAAAACATCAAAAAGCAATCTTCCAGCTCACAGCATCTTTGAAACTGAAATGTACTCAAAGTAAATCTGAAGCAGCATAACAAAAAAATCCACATTTTTTGTGATTTGGTTCAACTTGACAAATGATTCAAGATTCCAGACATTCTGTTAGTGTCGACATATTATCTAACCAACACATATTGTCCAAAATTTGCTAATTAAAAGAGCCATAAGGGATATTTTTCTACAAGATCCTCAAAATTCTGGCTAAGAGTGAATCCGGGAGAGTCATATCCCATGACCCACAGCCCAAATTATGTACTGATGTTAGAGAGGTAGGTATATACTCATATCAGAATTGGAACTGTAGTGGATGAAGTTGTTGTTTTTAAGGTTTGATAGCAGAGCTGAAGAACTTCAGGATAGGTTGATGGGTTCCTTGGAAGAAAAAGGCAAGAATTTGGTAGACCAGAGAAAAATCATTATATTTTCCCTCCACGTCTCCACTGCCTTCGAATCTCAAATTTCCATCCCTGCCAAATCCACCACCACTTTTAGGTAGAGAGTGTCATCTTTAAGGTAGTTGGGGATCTCAACGTGGCTGGCAAAAAGAGGGCTCCCACTAGCCACGTTCAACCTCTCCCGAGGTTGGTGGAAGGAGGAGCTTTGAGGATCCGGGAGGAAGGTCTCCATGATGGGCGACTTCTTCCTTGTAGGGTCCAGGAGAGAGAAGGTCACCTTTTGCCGAAAGGGCCAGGGCAGGATGTCATCGTAGGGTCCTTTGGCCAAGGCGAGGAAGAGGGAAAGATGACCTCCCTGGCCAATGCCATCTCCGTCAGGATATAGCCGGACACAGAGGTGGTACCCAAAGGTGTGGGTGGCAAAGGCTGGAGAGTAGATGGAACGTTTCCCTCCCGCTTTGGCCTCTTTCATGAGCTTGGAGAAGTTCTCCACCTTCCACACTAGGGTTCCATCAGTGCTGACCAGTTCTGGCATCATTGGTTTGGATGCTTTGTTTTTCTCTTGAGACAACCTCAAGAGTTTTTCATATTGGGAACAGTTGTGCTGAAGAGACTTCACCATGGCCCCTTGGCTGGCCAGCTGCCTGCGCAGGGACAACACCATCAGCTCCAGGGCTTCCACACGCATTTGGACGCCTTCAACATTCAAGGTGGGGTCACCCTGGAAAAATAAAGGGAAGGTCACGTCTAGGAAGAAAAAGTAAAAGACACTTGTGGGCTACTGATTATACCCCTGTGCTTTGTTTGGACAACAGTTCCCAGAATTCCCTGTAAGAGCTAAGAGCCTACTGGCTATACCAGGCATGGGTAACCTTTCTAACTTGGGGGCTGCATGGCAGGCCAGAGTGGGGTGGGCAAGCCGGGAGGGAGAGGGTTCTCCCCAAGCCCCCTCCCTGCCCTTTCCTCCCCTTCCTCTTCTCTTTCGAAGGCAGAAAGTGAAGGAAAGTCAGGAATCATTTGGATCCCAAAAGGGTTGGCCTTGGTCAGGATGAGATGCTGGACAGGAGAGAAAAATGTATCCCCATATTGCCTACTCCTGATATAGAATCCTAGAACTGGAAGAGCCCCCCAAGGGCCATCCCATCTAACCCCATGCCATGCAAGAAGGCACAATCAAAGCACTCCTGGCAGACAGCCTCTGTGGAAAAGCCTCCTGAGAAGGAGACTCCACCACACTCCATGGTAGCCTATGCCACTCTCCAGGAAGTTCTTCCTAATCATTTCAGTTGAATTTCTTTCCCTGCCATTTGAACCCATTGTTCCCTTGCGCCCCAATCTCTAGAGAATCAGAAAGTCAGCCTTCCCTCTCCTCCTCCTCCTCAATGGGACACCCTTTGAAATCTCATGTTCCCTCTCAACTGTCTCTTCTCCCGGCTAAACATCCCCCAGGAGGAAAGGAGGAAAGAAAAAGAGAAGGAAGGAAAAGAGGAAGAGAAGGGTGGAAGGAAGGGTGTAAGAGAATGGAGGGAGGGAAAGGAGAAGGAAGGTAGGAAAGACAAAAGTGAGTGAGTGAGGGAAGGAAGGAAGAAAGGACAAAGGGGTGGAAGGGGAGGAAGGAGGAAGAGAGGGAGAAAGAAAGAGAAGGAAGGGAGGAAAGAGAAGGAAGGAAGGAAAAAAGAAGGAAGGAAGGAAGGAAGGAAGGAAGGAAGGGAAAGGAAGGGAGGGAAGGAGAGGAAGAAAGAGGAGAGAGGGGAGGAGGAGGAAAGAGGAGGAAGGAAAGGAAGGGGGAGGGAAGGGAGGGAGGGAGGGAGGGAGGAGGAAGGAAGGAAGGAAGGAAGGAAGGAAGGAAGGAAGGAAGGAAGGAAGGAAAGGGAAAGCTATATGAAGGAAAGCAAGAGAAGAATGGGGAAAGGAAAACAAGAGGGAGGAGGGGGAAAAGAGGGAAGGAAGGAAGGGTGGAAGGGGAGAAAGGAAGGAGGGAGGGAGGAAGAGAGAAGGAAGGAAGGAAGGAAGGAAGGAAGGAAGGAAGGAAGGAAGGAAGGAAGGAAGGAAGGAAGGAAAGGATGGTGTGAGAGAAGAGAGCCTGAGAAAAGGGCCCAAGGGTCTGCATCCGCCCTTGGGCCTGGGCTTGCCCATACCTGGCCTATAGGATTCTGGGAGGTTTTATCCCCAAAATAAATTGGTCTAGGCTCTGAGTTAACCGTGCTACAGCAGCCTAACCACCAGGAATAAAAGAAAACTGTTTCACAGGTAAGAAGCACAGAGACTGAGAGTGCTAATAGGCATGTGGCCCCATACACACATACACACACACACACATCTATATAATTTAATATCACAATTTGTATCTATATGCTCCTCTATCCAGGAAACTGTTGCCAACAGTGGACCCTATTGAAATGAACTTCTGCCTGCAGTTATCATAAAGTCACTGGAAGACCTAGTACATTTCTTAGGAGTTTACCAGCATTACTTTATGGCAACTGTTGACAGAAGCATACCATAGTCTTGCCTGTAGGACTAGACCACATGTTTCAAACTTAAGGCTTGTGAGTCAAATCCAGCCTGCCATGTGGCCCTTCAAATCTACAACTCCTTTATCCTTCATCATTAGACATCATAACTAGAGTTGATGGGAGTTGTGATACAGTACCACCTGGAAGGCTGTGAGCAGCAGGGGAAACAGAGGTGGCTGGGCTGGACCATGTGAATGCCAATGCAGTGCTCTAGTGAATTCTGCAGGATATGTCAGTCCATTTCTGGCCAGTCTGGGGCATTTCTGCTGTGAATTTAGCAGGCAGTTTAGACTTGCTCTGCATCTCTATCCTAATTCCATCTGTCTCTTTAAAATCTTTCCCCCTTTTGAAATCCTTCCACACCTCCTTTTGTTTACACCCTAATTAGGTTCTCCCTCGAGGCCTGGACCTTTCCAGCATTTCCAGACTTTTGTGCCCTTTTGACAATCTTGACAACTTACCATGATGGGGTTCATAATGCTCCAGGAAGATTTTTCTTCTTCTTCTATGTCTTGATTTCCAAGGTCAAAGGCAGCATTCATGGCAGTTCCAGAGTGCACCACAGGAGGGCAAGCATGCTCCTACATGGGAGGAGAAGGTGGCACGATTAAGGTGGCTGAAAAAGGAAAGGCTCTATCTTTGATGCTGCAGCAACTTAGCTACAGTTTTACCTTCTCATAAACAGTAGTTATCTCCAAAGAGCTTTGTGTCTTATGATAGACACCAAATACTATATTTTTAAAGCAGAGGCTGGATGGCCATCTGTCAAGGGTGCTTTGATAGTATTTTCATGCATGCCAAGTGGTTGGATTGGATTATTGTTGTGGTCTTTTCCAACTCAATGATTCTATTATTCATATTCACATCAATGACAGCCAGTGCAGACATTGAAAAGAACACAGAGGCCCCTTCTACACTGCCATATAATCCAGAATATCAAAGCAGAGAATCCACATTATCTGCTTTGAACTGGATTATATGAGTCTACACTGCAAGATAATCCAGTTCAAAGCAGATAATCTGGATTTTATATAGCAGTGTAGAAAGGGGCCTGAGTGACTAGGGTGTGAATACCCATGTAGCCACAGAAATCTACTGGATGATTGGGTTGTTGTAGGTTTTTTTGGGCTGTATGGCCATGGTCTAGAGGCATTCTCTCCTGACGTTTCACCTGTATCTATGGCAAGCATCCTCAGAGGTAGTGAGGTCACAGGTGAAATGTCAGGAGAGAATGCCTCTAGATCATGGCCATATAGCCTGAAAAAACCTACAACAACCCAGTGATTCCGGCCATGAAAGCCTTCGACACTACTGGATGACCTTGGGAACATCAGTCAAAGGCAGAGCTTTTGACCCAGGAAAGTTTTACATGACCCACAAATTCAGGTCTATAAAATAGGTATAAAA